GCAGAAAATGCAGTAACCCTTACATAACTGTGACCCATCCAACAGCTGACTCCGTCACTTTCCACCGCCAATACTATCATAATTATATACTGACTGACTGGTCACATTTCAGAACATACGTTATGAAGTTCACATACTTCTATAAACACCGGTAACCTGCACTGTATGATGATTTTTCCACTTCTGTCAATTACAGTTTCCCAGTGAAAGAAAATTCGTAAGTCCTGGTGTTGTACGTTAATAATCTTAATTCGCGTCATATCAATCTTTATTCCATGTACCTGATCAATTTTTGAATACAGCGATGATTTGGCCAATGAGAGCCTACAGGCTAAGCAAAAAATCTGTCAAAATCTATCAAAAAGTCGATGATGCCTGACTTGAACTTATTTCACGAGATGGAACCAGCTCACTATCTAACTGAAATTATTTGATTTACGCTTCATTAGAATATAAATCTCTAAAAATCGTTTCTCAACGAGTTCTTGGCTGGAACTCCTCTTGGCTAAAGAGCTGATTTTTTGGGGGTCAATTGGTACACAAGGATAATTTTTTTTGTTTTGTTCTCCTCTACGCCGTGTCTATAGAAGAGTGGGTAACCGGCTCTTCCGTTTGGTCTTTTTCTTTGTTTTGTGAATAAGGCGAAAATCTTGGTCAAATGACTAAAGGAGGTTAATTGCTAAAGAAACTCAGTAGTGCTGTATCGGTGGGAGATTATAGAAAATTATACAGAAAATTTGTTTTCTTTAAAGCTTAGGATGCGAACCTAGAACTTAATAATCAAAATATATGTTAATAAATACAGGAAGAATCTTGCAGTTTCATTTTCGCCTACGACATTGGGGTAATTGTTCAGTCGAGTCAAAATCTTTTTACAAACATAAACGTGAATTTATTCGACGTAGCGTAACTGGCAAATCCCATCGTACACATCCTATACATCTAAGCCGTATATTAAAATTGCAGAGAAAGAGACAATATCGGAAGCTTTTTTTGGCGACACAAAGCACAAATTGATAATGATATACATTTACATCATCGAGTTGCTTAAATGGATCTAGTTTTTTTCCTTTCGAGTTTGTTTTGCAATCCTTAAGACTTCCAGACTCCTCGGTTGACTAAATAGTTGCTATCACAAGGACGTTATCATTTATGGAAATAATAGTTGTTAGCTGTTGATTACATACTTTTCTTTTGGAAGATCGTAAATCCCCGTCTTCATAACCTCCTCTTGACTAAAAGGCACAAAGTTTGGCGAAAATGGAGTGAGTCTTTTGAATGAAACCAATTTAGATGCAGAATGCAGTCAATTTCCGCTTGAATAGGAAGAGTTAAAATTACTAAACATGGCGCGTATCCGGATTTTTATTTTGAACCTGGAATTCCTACGAATGCGAAGGAGAAGAAACGTGGACCATTATCTACTCTTTTTCGATATCAAGGGTATGATATAATGATATAATGGCCTTGCTGCCAGGCAAGTAAGGCGAATTCTTTTTTAACGAGCTACCTGAATGGCCATGATAGACTTATTCTAGTTTAAGATCATTAATTAATGTGCAACAATCCACAGTCAATCTAAATATCTTGATGTTGTTTCATCTAGGTATGTACACATTTCATGTTCAATTCAGTGACTAAACTATAGTTGCTTTAATATTTGGATTTAGAGATAACGAGAGATTTTATAAAGTTTCTCCCGAATAAGGCTGAGGATACACTCAGAAAAACAATACCCTTATTCTTGACAGCGGATAAGAATGAACGTGGATTCACACCAACCTGAACACGCATCCGTGTACCAATTATCCAGAAAGCCTAGGACAGCAACAAGAATCGCTTTGAACAGGAGTGCACTTAGTATCATGACGATGAAAATACTCCTACTTTGGGTGATCTCTTGAACAGCTTCCTTGAACAGCTTTAATTGTAATTTCGTCTTGAGCCCGTTAAGGAAAAGGAGATGATTGACTGTCAAATATTTTATTTAGATAGCAATTTATATTTGCCTACCTGTTTTTCATGGAGAAACAAATAGCCTTGCACCGGATGCTACAGAAGCCAGCGGATTCTGACTCTGGCTGGATTCCAAGCCCTTAAGGTCCAAGATAATGTCAGTATTTGAAAATCATCGCTAGATCACGCACAGAGTCATACCACAACCAAAACATCGAGGTTACATTAAAGTCAAAACTTGGCAGACAGTCAGTAGTGAACAAGGTCCCAACGATTCTTACTTATAATAATCCCGATATATTACTATAAAAACAAATCAGCTTTTACTAATGGCACGCAAAACAACTTGTTTTTAGCACATACAGTATTTCGGCTCTCGTCGTTTAATCTGTAAACTGATGTAAGTCATGTAGTAGTTTCTGTAAGCCGCAGATGTCATATTTTGCGGTTAAAAATAAATATATATTCAATCACTCTGAAAAAACAGTCGAGCATAATTTGGTGGCCGTCGTCTGGTAACATTCAACACCTAATTAAATAATAATAATAATAATAATAATAATAAAAAAAACAAGGGAACAAGCGGATAGCAGAGTCAGTCAAGTTTGACATGCTACTGAATACGTTCGCGGGAACAGCAGCGTGTCAAACCGAAACCAAAACTTCAGCGAGAACAATTTAACTTCACAAATTTCATAATCTATCTTAATTGGCTGAAGTAGTTCAAACAGTCGAAAATACTAATAAAATAATAAAAAAAAAGGAACAACTGAACAAAATGCATAACTAGCTTAATTGTTTCAACGAAACAAAATGCATAACTTAGCAAAACAAGTTTCCGATGCCGAGAACACCGGAACGCCAACATAAAACGCAGGAAACTGATATTAACAAGTTATAAGTACTATAAGAGTCACTTCCGTTTGATAATGAGGAGGGTTCGCCAGAGTCACAGAAAGAATGACAGGTTTATTTTCTCACACAAAGAAAAGCTTCCCGAATGATAGACAACCGGCATACAAGGCGGAAGTCTTAAAAAAAACCTAGAAGCATATCTGCACGTACTCGGGCTCTTGTAATGATAAAATCTAGGTTTTTATTCACACCTATATTGTACAAGTTTAACGTGTAAGTAAAAGGCATGCGAAAATCATTTAAAAGGTATTGGGAAATGTTATCGCTTATGCACAATGTTTTCATATGGTTTTCAATGATTCCTTGAAGCTTAAATGCAAAAACTCTTGTAAGCAAGCATGCACACTAAAACCTTGACAGTGATTTGTGAAATTTGTGATTTAATTAGGGAGTCACGACAGCTATGCCTGGGATAACATCGCTCAAAAAAAACACTTCCCTTTTGCCCGAGTATTTTTCGAGTAGCGCATGATATGTTTGCTGTCTTAAACGGCGCCAGATCTTTTCTGTCAGCAAAACGTGAGAGGGGAGCGTAGAGTTCGAAGCAGAAAAGTGGATAATTTGCCCAAGGAGTTCCCACTTTCAGACTGCGCAAAATTTTGGAATTTTATAAGTGATTATGAACGATAAATTCGTATCGGCACCATAATTTAGGGAGGTTTTGTGAACGCATTATCAGTTTACAACTTGTGAACCATTTCTGTAATCTACTTGGATATTTTCTTTTGAAT